TTCTCCTGAGCGTCCGCGTCACGTGCACACACCGTGAAGATGTGGGAGCCCGGCGGGTTGTTCTCCTTCACGAACACCGTGTACTCGGGCTGCGCGAACACAGGCGCGTTGTCGTTCACGTCGGCCACCTCCACGGACACGGTGGCTGTGGCCCACAGAGAGGGCGAACCCCCGTCTTTTGCAGTCACTACCACTTCATAGTTCGAAACACTCTCTCGGTCCAGATTGCTGTCCAGCACCAGTGAATAATAGTTTTTGAAGGTGGACACGATCTTGAAAGGAACGTCAGACGTCAATGAGCAGGTGACTTGCCCATTGACGCCAGAGTCGAGGTCGGATACACTAATCAATGCAATGACAGTGCTTGTTTGAGCATCCTCAAGTACTGGGAGGGACAAGGAAGTTACAGTCACTTGTGGTGAGTTATCGTTGATGTCTAAGATTTCTACCCAGACTATACAGTGACCTGCCATCGGGGGAGTTCCCTTATCTGTGGCCTGCACTTCAATTTCATAAAACTTATTTTCTTCATAATCTAAAGTTCCATTGACCCTCACTTCTCCGTTATTTCCATCTAGTGTAAAGAAGGGTCTTCCACTGGGCTTAATTGACTTCAAGGAGTATGTTACCTCCCCATTTAAGCCTTCATCTCGATCTGTGGCATTTAACTTTATCACAAGAATTTCTTTAGCGGCGTTTTCCACCAGTCTTACTTTGTATTCTAATTGATCAAACTCTGGATCGTTGTCATTAACATCCAAGACTTGGACAAACAGCTGAACGGTGCCAGTGCGTTCTGGTTTCCCTCCATCTGAGGCCGTCAATATCATTTTATGTTCTGCGTTTTTTTCTCTGTCTAGAGGTTTCTTTAATATAAGTGACAGTCTTTTAGTCGGCCTACTACTTACTGGCGATTCTAGAGAAAAATACTCGTTTTGACTTAGTCTGTAGGTCAATACAGCATTCTCTTCTATATCCGCATCGAAAGCGCCCTCTAGCGGAAAACGCGAATCTGGTTGCTTAGATTCAGAAATCAGCAGCCTTTGTTCTTTGAGAGAGAACACAGGCGAGTTATCATTAATGTCCTTCACCTCCACCTCCACGTGGAAAACCTGCAGCGGTCTGTCCACGATCACCTCCAGGTGGATGCTGCACTCTGCGCTCCTCCC